AGCTAGCTTTCCTGGCTTTCCTTGTTTAGTGAGCGTGGGCTTTTGATTGGTCAACGGATTATAGTTAATCCGTTCCGTCCTACCCTGTAGGCCCGTTGTGACGACCATAAGTGTTGGGTCGTGACAGTCTGCTAAGTCAAAGACTTAACTCGCTGCAGGAAAGATTGTTAGAGGCAATGGAGAGGGCGCATCTAAACGCCAACGTATTGCCCGCCGTGCTGCCAAGGAACTTTTGGACGGCATAGACGCAAACCTGAGTATTGGGTTACCTATGGCTGTGGCTATTTTCGTTGACCCGTCTATTGAGGTCCACTTGCAAAGCGAGAATGGAATTCTTGACCTAGGGCCGTATCCAGTGGAAGGTTCTGAAGATGCAGACTTGATTAATGCTGGTAAAGAGACTGTTACCTTAAAACCAAGAGCAGCGGTATTTGGCTCCGAAGAAAGCTTGGGGATAATTCGCAGCGGTAGAATCAATCTGACTATTGTTGGGGCTATGCAAGTGTCCGCCAATGGTGATTTGGCGAACTGGATGCTGCCTGGTAAGGTGAAGGGCTTTGGAGGAGCCATGGATTTAGTATCAAATCCCACTAAAACAAAGGTTGTTGTTGTAACGGAGCATACAGATAAGAAGGGCAATGCGAAGATTGTGCCTCGCTGCGCATTCCCTCTTACAGGTAAAGGCTGTGTATCAAGAATTATCACAGATTTGGTAAGTTACTTAACTGGCCTTACTATCGATTTGAGAATCATGACTGACTATAGAACAAGGCCGTTTTTGATGTTGAATTTGCCAAGGGTCTTACGCTTACAGAGATTGCGGATGGCGTGACGGTAACTGAGATCAAGGCCAAGACAGCATCGCCGTTTATAGTTAGCAAGGATTTGAAACCAATGCTATAAGGGGGAGGGGGGGCATGAAGTGATAATTTATTTCTCAGATTGTTTAAGAATTCAAATAGAGAGAAGAGATAGCAAATGACATATACGCCATAGAAAATTTGCGAAAGAGTATCTCAATGTCGCTTTATGCTCAATGCAAGCGGGCCAATCATCTTATGGCCGTCTCGTGCTACATATAAGAATGAAAGCCTCAGGCTACCTATCCAACATGATACCATGCAAAGTAAAAGTAACTGAACTGACCTTTTCGGCACTTGACGCAATTTGATAGTAAATCCACCAAAACACCGACATGTCCAATGTAAGAGGTCGCTGGTCTAATCCTAACCAAGCACATCTCTATCTTGGTTCCTATGAAGCAACCATCTATTTTTCTCATATGCTATATATATGTTCAGTGTGTATTTTCATAGAGTCTTTGACTTCTCTTCTTAATAGCCGTTATCACAACCTATCGCCTTTACAGCATGAGACTCTTATATTCCTAAGCCACCACCGGTAGCCAATGTCGAACAGGTGATCACAATTGAGGCGATATACGCTCGCCATTTATACATGATCTCGTTCCTGTGGATCATGTATTTGAAGCGGCTGGATGGTTTCTTGAACGCCATTCGTAACCGAGCCTTTCTGTCAGGGAAGCAAATAACTAGAATGGTTGATGAACCAAAGAAGACTACTATGCGAGAATATTAAATATATATATTTACTTTTGATCAAAATCCCGTCTAGGTTACAGTTTCGCTCGCAACTGCTTTGCTAGTATTATTGCTTTTGGCTCCATAAACGTCAGCATGCTCTCTAGATAACCCTCTCTCTGTAGGCCGCTCCCTTTTTGGCCCCCAAACGGCATAAAATCCCCTTTTGTCGGGCCTGTGCAATTGACCCCTACTGTGCCTGCTTGCAGCTTCAAGGAGACTCTGTGCGCTCGATTTAGATCATTCGTGTACACCGAGGCGTATAAGCCGTACTCGCTATCATTAGCCTTCTCAACAGCTTCTTCTTCCGTCTCGAACGAATTAATGACAGCTACAGGCCCGAAAATCTCCTCTTTCATGATTTTCGCATTCTCTGGGACGCCTGTGAAGACTACAGGCCTGATAAAAAAGCCCGGAGCGGGCTCCTCTTTTGTTACCAACTTGCCCGTCTTCTTGCCTTCCTCAATATATCGCTTCACGGTATTATACTGGATTTTATCCGCCTGCGGCCCATGGTTTACTTGGGGATCCATCGGGTCACCTAGCCGAACAGATTCCAACGCTTTTTGGAATTTCTCAATAAAGATCTTCTTGATGCTTTGCTGCACGTAAATGCGTGAGTTTGCCATGCAATTTTGGCCGCTGAGGAACTGGATGCTATGTGCGGTGTCTTTTGCTGCATCCTCGATATTGGCGTCTTCAAAAATGATTGCGGGTGACTTGCCGCCGAGTTCGAGAATTAGATTCTTGAGGTTGGAATTGGCAGCTGCTACGCTAATATCTTTTCCGGTGCGCATGGAGCCGGTAAATGACAGGGCTCGTACATCCATATGCGATGCAAGCGCTTTTCCTGAATTTGGGCCGTGGCCGGAGAGAACATTGAGGACACCGGGGGGGAAGCCGGCTTCTTTTGCGAGACGAGCAACATACAGAGACTGTGTATGTCTTAGCATGCAAACAAAAGACTTTAAGGGAAACTTACTGTTAAGGGCGCTTTCTCGCTGCTCTTGACAACGACTGTATTACCTGCGGCCAATGCAGGTGCCACCTTCTTACTAAAGAAAATAAGAGGTGCATTCCAAGGAATAATCACCGCAACAACACCTACTGGCTGCATCACAGTTAACACTGAATGCTTCTCATCCATTGGGCTTGTACGTCCTTGAGGGCATGGCGCCTGAGAGAAGTAGCGGAAACATTCGGAACCCTTAGCCGCATCGAAGTAGGTTGACTTAGGCCGACCAATACACTCAGCCTCCAGGTCCCCCAAAGGTCCTTCGGCTTCCTTGATCGCATCAGCGAGCCGCGCGAGATATCTGCCTCTTGCAAGCCAAGAGAGCTCCGACCATGGCTCAAGGGCGGTTTTCGCTGCGGATACAGCAAAGTTTACGTCCTGGTCTGACGCTTCGTGTACTGTTTGATCATGTTATTAGAATACAGTACTATATTTATCGAAAGCACATGAAACACAAGCTGAAAAGGAGTATATAAGATCTGGTAAGGGAAACATGCCTTTGGCGAAAACTTTACCGGATCTTGCGGACAATAGGTCAAAGGTCTCATTGTTAGATGATGGTCGAAACTATGGCGTGTGAGCGAGCAGACAGAGACAATATCAGTTAGTACATACCTCGTTGTTAATAAAAAGCCGTGTTTCAACAGAGCTGGAATCCATTTTCTTTTGTTAGCACTTTTACTTAGATCCAAGGATGATAGTAAATCTGATGAAGATGCTTGTTTTGCTTGTTGCAGAGTAACAATGGAAAAAGTAGGCCGTTATTCAGTCATGAAAGTGGCTGCTGCTAGAATGTCAATGCATGCTGGTTTGACCGGCACGATGCGCGACGCTAATAACATTGTAGTTAGGCCATAACTGCTCGACTACGGTTGTACGTCCTACGTAACCTCACTCGGAGCAAGAATCGCATTTGGAGGCACTTGCAGATTGTCGTGGGTCGCATGGGACAGTATACACATCCAACGACCTTCAGTAACCAGTAACAGCATATGCTCCGTACGTATAGTTTCAGGAAGCTTGTGCGCTAGGGACCAACCGCATAAGTAGGTGGCTAATCTGGGTTATTATGGTCCCCAGCCCTTCTCTGACCCACTTCATTGTTGGATACCATATATTGCAATGCAACCTCCGTAACGGAAATGGCAACCGCCATATATTCCAGGCAAAGTATCACCTGTATATTACTATTGATACATAGTCTCCGGTTATGAGGGTAATACATACAGTAACCAAGTAAGTACCTAGTATGAAGAACTAACTCTATGTGGGTGCTATCCGTGCCGCAAGCTGCTACATTGTACATGTACCTATAGCACATACTCTATGGCCTTAGTATTACCACTCTGATTCTCTCGAACAACCCGTCTATTATGCCAAGCCAATGCCCCTACTACCAAAATGATACTCACAACGGCTAGCGCCGCGAATCCAACACCCGTGGCAAATCCTGTAGGGTATTTGGGTGCCTGCTTCGAGATAAACACATTGCTCGCCACGAAATTCGCGCAGTTGCCCATACCCAGCTGAACAGCGCTCGCAATGGCCTGCTGAGGGCGCCCGCGTAGGTTGCTGTTGAGCCAACCGATTAAAATTGGGAACTGCATGAAGGAGCCGAAAGCAAGAATGTACAGCGCAAAGTAACGGACGGCGGGTGGCTGGACCTGGGCGTATTGGATACACCAGCCAATAAGGGCGAAAATTGCTCCGACAAGCACGAATGGCCAGCGGAGAGATAGTTTTCCAGAGGCATAAGAAGTCGACAGAGTGACAACAATACCGACCATCCAGACGGGGATACTCATGACCTGAGCTCGCGAGGCGCTCCAGCCGAGCTGAGCAAGGATAGTTGGGGTAAAGGACGAGATGGAAGCAGCGCCCATGTCGGCACAAAAGTAAATGAGGGTAAAAGACCAGATTTTCCAGTCGGTGAGCACTTTCAGCCAATTGATTCCATTGAAGTCAACCCTCTCCTCACCACGATCGTCGTACAGGCGGGCGAGGAGTAGGCTTCGTTCATCTGCACTGAGAAATGTAGCATCTTGCGGGAAGGCTGGAATGATAAACCAAGAGGCGAATGCGAAAACAATGGTAAAAAGGCCCTCGATGATGAAAATCCAGCGCCAAGCCTCATAGCCACGCACTCCGTCCATGTGCTGAATGGCATATGCGAGAAGCTGTGCGCGTTAATGATGGCACAGTGAGACAGGAGATATAAGACATACGCCACTGAAAGCGCTTCCGAGCAGAGCAAAGCAAATAAAGTATGAGAAGCGAATGTTAAACTCGCTGCGTCTGTAGTATTGCCCAATCAAAAGAGCAGCCCCTGGAAACATCAGCTGCTAGACTCTTAAAAAGACCACGCGTGCATTGATGTATACCTGGTGGCAACCCAGCTTCCATAGTGCCCATGATGAATCTACAAGTAAGCAGACCACCGTAGCTTCTTGTGAGTCCCTGACACATCGATACAACGCCTAAGTCCCGTCAAAAAGTACATCTTGAAGTTCTCAGTTTCCGGAGCATACCGAGTATCAACATTGCTCCCGCAAGCCACTGATTCGGCTTGATCTTATTTAAGCTCATAAACAAATTGCTCGGGATCTCGACGATCACGAAAGGCAGGTAAAATATCCACAGGCAAGTGTTAAACCCCGTCGCTGGCATATGGAGCGACGTCTCGAGCCCGAACAATCGCGCGTTAGCGATGTTCGAGCGATCCAAGAAGGATACAAGGTAAAGGCATCCCAGGATCGGAATCAAGCGGGTGTCGCACTTGAAGAGTAGTCGCCGAGCTGCCTTAGACTTGTTGTAGGACTCTGTGTTGGGGTCGGTCGCAGGATCTGAATCATCAAGGACGGCTGTCCTTTGAGCATAGACATAGATATTCTTCTCGTTGTTTCCTAGCACATCAGCCATTGCTTCGTTGTCATTCAATACTGGCGTCATGATTGTTGGATTTGGAGGATTAGAGGAGCGATGGATAGGAGAAGTTCCTCTAGTGCAGCTAGAATTAAACAACGGATTTCGGACTTTACCCTTTGGCAAGACTCTGAGTGGAGCCCAACCTACATACTATTCAATGTATAGGGCAGATATTTTGTTGTTGCATTGCTAAAAAGTTGCATGTATTAGTATATTCTAGGCTTGTGGCCGCAAATGACCCTGGACCGGAAGGCCTCAGCCGACCCTAGTTGATAAGCCAGTAGTTCTACCCCTGCCTTGTGTTGCGGTTACAACCATATGGTCCATGTTGATCACTCATATGCAGCCCTTGTTGAAATACATGTATAGTGGATAACCCAGCCTATTACAATGCTAATGTAATAGCCTTAATATCTGTGTATTCCTCCATTGCATGGATAGATCCTTCTCTTCCTAGACCACTGTCCATAACGCCCCCAAACGGTTGCTCAATAGCACTGATTGACCCAGTTTGAGCGCCTATCATGCCGGCTTGCAATGCTTCAGCCACTCTGAGAAGGCGAGATATATTTCCCGTGAAAACATAACCTGCCAAGCCAGTTCTAACAGCATTGGCCAGGGAAATGGCCTCTTCTTCTGTGTCAAAAGTTGAGATAGCCACCAAGGGACCAAAAATCTCTTCGCAGCTGACCTGCATCGTTGAGTTTACACCTGACAGCACACTGGGAGGATAGTAGGTTGAACCCTCTTGGTACGTGTCGGGTGTAAGTAAAGTAGCACCGTTTGCCAGTGCGTCGCCTGGCAGCAGTCTAATTTTGTGTGCTCCTACCTTCGCCTATAGAGGTCCAAGAGTGGTGTCCTTTTCCCACGGAGACCCCAGCTGCACTTTGTCCGTGATGGCTGCCAGGAGCTTTTCGGTAAATTCTTTTTCGATTCCTTTAGTACTCGGTTGGCAGAGATACAAACCTGTCCAGCAGAGTTAAACTTGCAAGCGAGCAGCTCTAACCGGTTACATTAGTAACGTGTAGTTTGAGAAGATTCGCAAAGTGGAACAAACCTTTCAATGCAAGATTTAGGTCCGCATCTTCAAATACAACAAATGCTGCGTTGCCGCCCAGCTCCATAGTGATTTTCTTCAGGTTTGCGCCGCATCTTTCGCCTAGATATCTGCCCACAACAGTTGAACCGGTAAATGTAACATGACGAACCAGCGGATGCGAGTAGAAGAGCGAGCCAACCGTAGCTGCACTGTCTGACGAACTTGTCAACATGTTATAAACGCCCGGCGGAAAGCCTGCTCTCTGACACAATTTGCTGAGAGCAATGGCGCAGAGGGGTGTCTCTGGGGTAGGTTTGTGGACGATTGTACAGTCTACCGCTAGAGCCGGTGCAATCTTCTTGAGGACACCGGAATAGGGAGAGTTCCAAGGCGTGATGGCGCAGACAACACCGACAGGTTGGCGAATCGTCCAGATTCTGTTCTGGCCACCATTCCCAGAGTTGGGTATCGTCTCGCCGCCACATCCTTGCTCGGCGAGGTTGGAGAACCAGTCGAGACAATTGGCAGCGTAGGTGAGAGATTTGACTGACTCTGTAAACGGCTTACCAAGCTCTAAGGTGCAGATGGCAGCCAAGTCTTGAGTTGACTCACGCACACCTTGTGCCCAATTCCTGAGAAGCTTGCCCCGAGCTGAAGGTGTGAGACGCTTGTAGGAAGTGAAAGCCGCGTGCGCTGCATCAATTGCATGCTCGTAGTCTGCAGTGCTGCAATCTGATACATATGCCAGGACTTTCTGGTCTGCAGGGTCTACAGCTGGTGTTAGGCTCATTCTATTTTGTCAGGCCACCGCATCAAGTACAATTAATCATCTTCTACAGCGAACATCTTGTCGTCCACTGAGCTCCACCACTCGCCCCCTACAAAGAATTTGAGATCTAGAAGAGAAGCATCTCGGAACTATTGTTGTTTACATTAGCTCAATCCGGGTATGATCGAAAGATTTGGGGTGCCTGTCCTACCGTGTACGGTATCTCTTTGTTTAGAATTGATGAAGCCATGTCTCAAACTTTTTCCACGGTATGTCACCCGGCTGATGTAACAAGAATTCTCTTCTGATCTACGCGCTGAACTTTGTTCCTAGAAGCTCGTTTGAAGTGTTGCTTCTCGGTCGTATTTATCGGCTGCTCTGAGCTGAGAAACTCCGCTTTTAGTAACCTAATGTGCTTTATGAAATAAGGAAGTAATTACTACCGTGCTCCAATTGTCTGTGAATCAGCGGAATTTCGTTAGATTTGAAGCATCATTTACAGCACATTAATAGCAAGAACCAACATCAGGTATCACAAACTTACTCAGATCAATTGAAACAATGCCTGCATCTTCTCCTTCGACTTTACCGGCGGGCCATGTGTCGGTAAATGTCGCCTTTGTTAGCAATGCTTTGCTTTCTGGACTCCTAATGTCGCGCTTCTCGAAGCCCAACATTCGTGGAATGGAAACACTTCAACCAATTCCTAGTTCCTCCTACTTCATCGAGCATCCTTCCGGCAGGCGACTGATGTTTGACCTTGGTCCGCGCAAAGATCTGGAGAATTTATCACCAATGTTATCCAAACGTATGGCGAAGGGTGGGTGGCAGGCAGAAATCACACAGGAAGTACCGGAAGCTCTACAGCAACATGGTATACCAATCGAGAGTATTGAAAATGTGATCTGGAGCCACTGGCACTGGGATCATGTCGGTAACATGTCTAAGCTTCCCCAAAGCATTGGTCTGGTTGTCGGGCCTGGCTTCACCAAGGCAATGGTTCCGGGCTATCCCGAGAATCCCAGCAGTCCAATACTAGAGTCAGATTACTCAGGCCGAATGCTGATCGAGCTGAACGACTTCGGCTTGACTGTCGGCGGCCTCCCGGCTTATGACTATTTTGGGGACGGCTCGCTCTATATTTTGTCTACACCCGGACATGCCACTGGCCACTTATCGGCATTGGCACGCACATCGTGTGAAACTTCCAAGGTGATGATACCTTTTTGTTAATGGGTGGTGATTGCTGCCATCACATGAGCCAGCTACGCCCTTCTTGTCTTGGTGCATTGCCTTGCAGTGTCAGATACTCCATTAACTCGGAGACATCTTATCCACATCAAGATAACAATGCTTCGTGGACCACTATTTTTCTGTAGCGAAGGCGCGAATAGTCCCTTTGCAGGCATATCTGACCACTTGAACGGTGAGAGTGCAGCTTCCGATCCTGCTACCGCCATGGCTTCCCTCCAGATGTTGCAGCAGCTGGATAAAGATAATGGAAATGTCTTCTTTACTGTTGCCCATGATAAATTCTTGTTAGAGGTGGTTGGACTTTTTCCGAAGTGGGCAAATGAGTGGAGGAGCAGAGACTGGGCAAAGCAAGCAAGATGGTTGTTCTTGAGGGATTTGGCGGAGGAGAAAGGGTTGATCACAGCGAACACTTAGAGGAATCTCATTTTGGAGATGTATATAATGGTTGTCTAATCTTGTGAGAGACTTTCTGTGATAGCCCTAGCGTCGAACTGTAAGAAATGCACGGGGAGCATGTATGTTTCGCAGCTAGCGAGACTCTGAGTTCAATGCCGGTACGTGCATTTCTGTAGGGAGCTCAGGGTTGACCTGAGACAACGGGGCGTTGCTGAGAAACCGGGCATGAAATTTGTCCGCAGACTCTATGAATTTAACCAATAACTATCGAAAGCGAACTTCCAGGCCAATATTCTAAAACCAGGAGTCTAGCTATAACAGTCATGACCGAATATATACTATCATTAACCGTTTTGGCCTGGACAATAGTTCCACAAGCGCCGTGTCTGGCGAGAGGGCTTGGCACAGAACGAAAGGAGTCCTTCCGATGGAATTGAGTACTAGTATTGGTATCTCGCCCTGCAAACTCAATATATCGCGACGAGGTGACAATTGCAATCATGGCATCTCCAACTCTTCAAGGCGGAGAAGAACAAATCAACAACGATATCTACTATCTTTACTACTGGCCTGGTCTACCGGGCCTTAGCGGGTTTATAGGGCTGGTCCTTGAGCAGGCAGGGGTCAAGTACTTCAATGTGGCCTTACAACAAGACGCCCTGAAGCAGTGTATGGATCTCATTACGCCATCCGAGACATGGTCCGCTGGCGACACAGCCAACCTTGCTGTCGTGGTAAAATGCCGTGTGCGGACAAGCCTTTATGGAATTTTACTTTAATGTGATAGATCCGACAAATGTAGAAAATCATCTGTACGGCATTGGAGACCATTCGAAGCGGACCTGCTCGTCACTGGAGATCGAGATTATCGGATCGCAAATAGGAAGCAGCATTCGCCGCATTTGTAGGTACTGCAGCTGCAGGATGATAGGCGGTATAAGCATATGCGAGAAGCTGGCGTGATTGTGACCAAATTGGCAACGGGAATCAGAGTGTCCTTTGGGCTCTATAATAGCGTGATAGATATCGATGGGTTGGCAGATGTTCTCAGAGCTGGCATAACCCAAGGGACTCCATTGACATAGAGCGAAGTCTTGAGAGAAAAGAGGGTGTTCTTGATGAGCTAGCGGCCGTTACTTTAGGGAAGTACTGGATAAACTTGACTTATGACGATGGATTGTGTTTGGTCTATTATGGTGACATGATAGTGAGGCGTAGCCGCATCTGGTTGGCGAGGATCTATGTCCCGAGCACTCGCCCCGCGCCTGTGTAAGGTACTCTTCTTCTTCCGGTGTACCAAGTATACTAATGACACGAATAGCCTGTAAAAAAGCGTAGACGAGAACAAGGGGCGAATGCCGCAGATCGTACCCAACGCGGTAGGTGCGTACGAAATGTTCTGGGCTGAGGTGATGCAGAACTGGCATGAGGAGTTTCGCTCAATCTGTTGATGCCCTGCGATGGCGTTATCGTAATTCAAGGCGATACGGGCACTGTGATAGAACAAGCTAACCAGATTAATGGTACATCTGCCCTTTGATCGGATGATAAACTTACTGAACCGCCATTAGCCCTGGCACTGCGTTGAGGTTGGTCATGTCCCAGCGAGTTCATTTCAAAATTTGGCAGAGACCTGTGCCACCGTAATAATTCTAGATTGAGTTTGTCCAGATTGGATCTACGAGAGATGGCATCCTAGTTGATTTGAATAAGACAGAGACGCTCATCATGCTCTCTACGATTCGAGATAAACGTATCTGCTCCTGGACAAAAGGTATGTTAGAGTGCCCCTCATGGCGTCATCACCGCAGACTCCGAAGCCCACAGGGCGCCAATACTTGCGGGTCCATCGCTGTCAGGTACAGGTCAGGCCACATGCGTTCAAAATCAGGTAAAGCTGTCTCAGGGCAATATCTTCAATACATAGACTACAACTGCGTCGTACACAAGGTGAACTGTTTGGCCTAGGATGAGGCTGATGAGCCTACCGGAATTACAGCAGCCCCAGTATATGCGTCGGTGAATCTCGCTGTCTTCATAAGTGCTGAGTGAGGCATCATGAGGCACCCAATTATCTGGGTAACGCTGGAATCCAAGTTCCTGTGCCATGTAGAAGGCAATCTCAGAGAAATTCTAGCTTCTGGATAGGCTACCTCGGCCAATAACGTAGAAAGCGAGACATAGAAACATTTGAACTGTAGGAATCGATGGCTTTGATAAGTTTATATAAATAACTAAGAAGCTGCATTAAAATATACAAGGGACTTACTAATATTAAGCTATACCTCTTGTAAGCACTTAAATAGCTTTGTGTGACGTCCTGACCTATACTATTGTACTTAGGTATAGGGTAGGTTCCCAATCTATAAACTAAGGCGTTAGTTTATATTAGTAAAGAGATGCGAGGGATTTAATAAGCAGAGTAATTATATAGTTAATAAGGTTATAAATAATTAATTTAATTATTATTTAAAAGTGCTATATTAATAATTAATTATTTAAGTTTTATTTAATAAGTGTAATAAATAATTCTTATATAGTAAGTTATTTTAAGTGGCTTATAATCTTAATTATAATCCTTTAAAATAGCTTACTTTAGTGTTTATAATTTATTTTAAGTAGCTTATAGTATAAAATATAATCCTCTCTTAATTAGTTTATTAGTTTATAGTATTTTTATAGGTATATATTTTATAATTATTAGGTTATAATATAATATCCCCTTTTTGTTAATTTTATCCTTAAGGCTAAATGTGCATTAGCTTTATAATTTATAAGTATATTATTCTCCTTATATCTTATATTTTATAATTTAATTCCTTAAATAATATTATAATAACTAATAGAGTGTTTAAGCTAATTTCTTATAAAACTTATAAGTGTAATATTCTTATATTATTTATTCTTTTTTATAGTTTTAATTTAAATATATTATATACTTATTATTTTTAGAAGAAAGTTCCTTATTATATAATAAAGGATTTTTCTTATTATTATAAATATATTAAATATAGCTATTTTTATAATAGTATTCTAGTAGCTTTTTCTTATAGGTAAGCTTAATTCCTATAAAATATTTAAAATGCTAATGTGTTTATAATAATAAGGATATTAGATTAGTAAAAAAGATTAAAAATAGAGGAAAAGGCTGTGGGTAAAGCCCTAGAGTCTTTTTAAGCTTAGTTAACTAATTTATAAGCTAAACTATCTAAAGCTATAAATTAGCTATTTTAGATTTATTATATTAAAAGTAAAATAAAAGAGTATAGTAATAAATTAATGCATTAAGGGATATAGGAGTTAAATAAAGAAAATAAAGTAATAAGTAATTTTTAATATATAAGGGTTCTGTGACGAACCGTACACTAGATAGTTAGTAATACAAGGGCTTCCCAAGGGACAAACCTAGAGTTTAGTTCTGGGTTTATATTGGCGGAGCGATTAGGAGATCTTCGGGCAATGTAAACAGTAATAACAAATGTCACTAGATAGTAGGCAGTGCAGAGTGTGTTGCAATCTTGATTCTGTGTTAACAACTGGCTATCTAAGTTATTTAAATGAGTGTGGTGAAGTGAACTTATATATTTAGTTAAGGTTTCTGGATTGTAGTGGAAAGCTGTCTTTCCTAGCTTTCCTTGGTGTTAAGGAAAGCTAGCTTTCCTGGCTTTCCTTGTTTAGTGAGCGTGGGCTTTTAATTGGTTAACGGATTATAGTTAATCCGTTCCGTCCTACCCTATAGGCCCGTTATAATAACCATAAGTGTTAGGTTATGACACAATACTCCCTCCTTGTTAGTCTTATCCTTAAGACCTAGTTACGTTATTATATAAGTATCCCTACCTGTCTTCCTTCCTAGGTGAGTTATTCCTTCCTTAGTTTTCTTCCTTTATTTTTATTATGGTTAAACGCAAGTGAGATAATAATAATACTTCCACGCGAAAGAAAGAGGAGTGTGAAGGTTTTGCTGACACTATACTAGAGAATTCCGTTCTTATTATAAAGTCGTGCACCTACTGCGAGTCTTAAGGTTATGAATGCGTTGCTTTAGAAGAGGATTCCCGTTGTTGTTTATCTTATGTAAAGAATTAGAAATCTTATTGTGAGGCTTTTGGTTTTACCCCTTAACAGATGCGAAAAGTCGCGTCTTATTATTTAAAACTGAATAAGGAGCTCGAGGAAGCTGAAGAGGCTTGGTTGGAGCTTAGTGCGAAGGTTAAATGTCTTTGTACCCAGAAACGAGAGTGGTCAAGGAGGATAGAACGTGCGATTGCGCGGGGGCTGGATAATTTGGAGGAATTGGAACGGGTTAAGCGCGAGGAACGCGAAGCGGAGGCCGCTTATTAGGTTGCCCTGTTGGCGCCTAATTTTACTGTCGGCCTGTCCCAGTCCGTTGACGCTGTTAATTGGTCTGCCTTCGAACTGGACCCGTTATTATTTCCACCCCTAGAGACTAATAAAATTCCCGTAGAATTGTCTGGGCGCTCCTCTTGAGTTCTTTTTCTAGAACCTAAGAGTTTTCATTGGAATCGTATCCTTTCTATCTGATGAGGTATTCTCATTCTCCTGTTTCTTCGTTTATTTGCATGCGAAGTAGTTTTTCAATTTTATATTCTTCTTCAATGTCTTAGATAATGATTTCGTTTATAATTGGTTCGCCTGTTTCCTTGTCCACTAGTGCTTTCTTAAGTAGTGATACGTGGAAAACGGCTGTTTTTAATCTTATGTTTTCAGGTAAGTCTAATTTATAGTTAACTTCGCTGATTTTCTTTAGAATTTTAAATGGTCTAAGTTTTCTGAAATCTAATTTATTACTTAGCCTGTTTATTCTGATGTTTAGCAATTTTTTGTTGCGTGAATGTTATAGTAGGTAGACTATGTCTCCCTCCTGAAGGGTTGGTCCCTTAATCCTTGTTTGGTTAGTGTATTCCTTTGTGCGCTGCCTGAAGAATTTAAGTTAAACTTTAAGTTCTTCCTGTAATTGGATTATATCTTCTGCAAGGATGCGTGCATTATCTGCATTTGGGCTATTGTAAGGTGGTTTGTAGGCTTCCGGTGTGAATCTGTAGTTGGCGTAGAACGGTGTAACTCCCGTAGTTTCCGTGGTGGAGCTGTTGTATTGCATTTGTGCGATTGGTAGCATTTCAACCCAGTTGTCTTGCTGGAGGTTAATGTAGCATTGTAAGTATGCTTTGATAACTTGATTTATTTGTTCTGTCTGTCTGTCTGTTTGTGGATGGAACGCGGTGCTTAGCTTGTGGTGAGTTCTAAGTTTAGCTATTAGTTCTTGCCAGAATTTAGATGCAAAGGTACTTCCTCTATCCGATATAATTTCTTTTAGCATTCTGTGTTTAGTGAATATATATCTTATGTAGAGATGCGCTAAATTTTCTGCTGTGTGCGATTTCTTATGTGGTAAGAAGTATGCTTGCTTTAAGAGTTTATCCATAACTACGAAAATACTGTCGAATTGTTTTCCGGTTAGTGGATCTTTTGACTTAGGCAAGTCAGTAATGTGGTTAAATGTAACTGTATTTTAATTTCTTTCCGGAACTAGGGTTAGTTGTAATGTTCTATATGGCCGATGCCTTTTGTCTTTTGTCTTCTTGCATATATCGCATTTCTTAATGACTTCTGAAATTTTATTTTTTATTCCTGGAAATTTGTAGTAGTGTATGGCGTGGTTCCAGGTAGTTCGGACACTACAGTGTACTGCCGCGATTATACTGCGATATAAGTCTTGGATTGCTTTTAATTATAGTTCCGGTGGTACTTAAATTTTTCCTTCCTATTTTAGTAAGCCTT